GGTTAAGAAGGTGAGACCATAAAGTGTTAGAGTAATGAGAAAGGGGAGATGGAGAGATCGGGCTTTGGGGCCACAAGGGAATGGTGCCAAACCAGAGAATATTAGTCGGGTGAGGAATCTAAGAAACAAGCATTTATTGAGTGGCTGCGGTGGCAGGTGCAATGCTGGCATCATGGGATTAAAAAGAATGTTAAGAGATCCTTGCAGTGCAATGATAACAAAACCAAGTGAGCTTGAACGATCTGCTCAAACATACAAGGCAAATGAGTTACCAAAGCAGAACCCATTGCTCCTTGCTCCCAGCCCCATTCAGGGCAGAGGAACTACAGCTATCCCTTTCATGCCACTAGGGCTAGGGGCGAGACATCCCTGTGATCTGGAAACTCTGTGTAAAATTTTCTGGCCCTCCTTTTGTACCAGAGAAGAAGTCTGAATTGTTTCTTTTTCTTTTATGGGGTGTCTACAGTGCCTTATTATAAAATTTAGGTATATTTGTGGTTCTAAAAGATAAAATATGTTGATATTATACAATACTATGCATACATTTTATGCATTTCTGAGTTTCTAAACTTTTTTTGGGTTGTCTGCTGGCCTTTTCGTGTTGTCTGCATGTTTTGCAAAACTCTCAAGAAATTCCCATTTAATTTCTTATGCTGTGATATTTCAAAACCGGGATGGGGAAAGTCGTGATGTAGAAGAGATAACTGGACTTGGGTTTCTCTTCTCAGAATAACCATACCAGATGCTGTTTATCCAGAGTAGATTAGAAAGCAAGGTCTTAGTCCTGATGTGGTCGTTAACTTACTCTGCAGTCTTGGACAGATCTCTTCCCCTCTCTGGTCCAGTTTCCATGTTTGTAAATCATTTTACAAATGGATCATATCAGGGGTTCTCAGCCTTTTTTGTATCATGGACCCCTTTGGCAGTTTACTAAAGCCTATGGAGCTCTCTCAGAATGGTTTTAAATGCATAAAATAAAATATTTAGGATTGTAGTTAATTTGGGTATTTATAATACTCAAAGGACCTATGAAGGAAGAAGCTATCTGCATCCAGAGAAAGAACTGATAAATGAAGTATGTATAGAATAGTTTTGTGTATATATGTATGGATGGATGTATACACACATATATTTGTGTCTAATGGTAGCCATGGGGGGGGGGAAGAAAAAGGGGAAAAAATAAAGTTACATGATAACTTGATTATATATTTAAAAGGAATAGCAAATCATACATAATATAGTTGCAGTTTCATGTGCAATCATCTTTTTTTCAATTATAATATGTTACTGAAATGCTTGTTTTATTTCTTAAGTTCAGAGTAAAATAAATTTAAAAAAATACAAAAAATACATAGGATTGAAAAGGAAGCCAAGTATATTGAAATAATTATCAATGAGTTTTTTTTTGACTAGGCAATGAGGTTAAATGACTTGCCCAGGGTCACACAGCTAGTGAATGTTACATGTCTGAGGCCAGATTTGAACTCAGATCTTCCTGACTCCAGGGCCGATGCTCTATCCACTGTACCACCTAGCTGCCCCCAATGTATTTTTTAAAAGTAGTTTAAGAAACCCTGGGCTGGATGATCTCTAAAGTACCTTCTAGCTCTGGTATTCCATAAATCTCTAAGTAAGCTGTCTTGAGCATAGAACAGATACCCACTGATCCTAAGGAGGGGGGTGGGAAGGGGTTGGCCAGGCACGTACGTAGACCCTTCCGAATGGGAAATGGAGTCTGTGACTAAGGAAGATCAGCAAAGGGAGGACCCCTTTGCCCCATTCCCTCACTATTTCCTTCTCTCCCTCCTCCATTCCATCTGAAACCCTGCCTAGCGGGCAGATCCGGGAGACCTGTGCAGCCAAATAGCAAAAGTTGGTAGATAGAAGGAAGAAGGAGAGGGTACCTGCCAAGTACCATGATCACCCTCGCTCTGTGCCCTTCCATGGTCTTTCAGGGTCCTCCCTCTCTATCTCACCCCAAGATTTCACCAAGCCCACTTCTCCCATGCCGCCTGCTATGATTCAGAAGGGACCTGATGACTCACTATTTACTCACATCTGAATACAGTGGCTATGCACAGACATTTTAGTACAAGAAGTGAAGGCTTACAGTGAGCTTACACTTCCAAAGACATATTTGCCAGGCAGTTTTCTTTGTGTCTATGCTGCTTTTGTTCATCTGGGACGTGTCCTGTGTAACTTTCAGGGCTCAACTTGGGGCTAACCCTCCATGTAACCTTGCCCAACTGACTGAACTCTCTGCCATCTCAAATGGAGTCCTTTATTTGTCCCCCTTCCTGAAGTCCTTTATTTGGCTTTCTGATAGGTCAGTGGCTTGTCATAGGATTATAGATTTAGAGCTGGAAGATACTTTTAGTAAAACTCCCTCATTTTAGAGTTGAGAAAACTGAGGCTGAACAGTGACTTACTCAAAGTCTTGCAGGTAAGACATGTCAGAGGAGGGATTCAAACTCAGGCCCTCAGATTCCCAATCTAGCACTCTTTTCCCTGCAATGTTATATTCCTCTTCTCCTCCTGAGGGAATGTAATCCTCTCAAAGGTATTGCCTCTGTAGTTTATCTTTTTTATATCCCCAATCCTGAGTAATAAATTCTTGTTAAATTGAACTTGTTGTGTGTAACACTCACCACCAGTGTCCTTAGCTTTGATGATAGTGGTGCATATTCTCCTACTAAAGGAATAATGACCTATGGTGTGAGATGAGGCTTCAGCATCTGGGGCAAGCGACACTGAATCATCCACACACCTTTTGTCTGGTCGTCCTTGTGACTATTGGTACGTGGTTGCAAGTCAGTTGGCCAGGGTTAGGTCTTAGTCTGCTGCAATGGTCAGGGTTCAGTCTGTGTCCAGAGTTAGAGTTCAGTCTATAAATAGTGTTAGTAGGAGACAATCTGTAGCTGGGAGTAGGGAACAGTCTTTGGTTGGGATGTGCTAGTAAATGTTTGACTGCAGGAATAAAAGCAACACATATACAATACCCTTTTAAATTTAAGCTGCATTATTAACATTTTCTCCATAACTTTTTAAAGTCTAGACAATCAACAAAACAGTAAACCAAGCCCTGACTTGTAGTGTTTGCTGCTTTTGAGGTGTAAGGGCTCACATTGAAAATTTAACAGTTGGCTCTTATGAGCTGCTATGAACCAGGTTCAGTATACCGCTGGTCTTTGGCTAGTCCATATCTTTGCATCTTGTGCAGAGACTATTGTGATATACTTTGTCAAATGCCTAGCTAAAATCATGATGGCATTCTCTGGCATGATGGCATCGGAATACCTATGGCATTCTCTAATCTACTAGTCTTGTAACCTTATCAATAATGTGGAAATATGTTCTACATGATTACACATGTATAACCTATGCCAGATTCCTTGTCATCTTGGGGAGAGGGGAAGGGGAGGGAAGGAGGGAGGAAGAAAAATTTGGAACTCAAAATCTTTCTTTTTAATAATTTATTTATTTTTAATTTTCAATAGTCACTTCCATAAGATTTTGAGTTTTAAATTTTCTCCTCCCTCTCCTCCCCCCCTCCAAGACCACATGTCATCTGATATAGGTTCTACTTATATATTCACATTAAACATATTTTCATGTTAGTCATGATGTAAAGAAGAGTTAGAACTAATGGGAAGAACCATGAGAAAGAAGAAACAAAACATAACAATGAAAGAAAAGGAAAGCAAATAGTATGCTTTCATCTGCATTCAGATCCCACAGTTCTTTCTCTGGATGTAGATAGCATTTTCCATCATGAAACTTTTGAAGATGTCTTAGATCCTTGCATTGCTGAGAAGGGCAAGGTCTATCAAAGTTAGTCACCACACAACATGGCTGTTATTGTGCACAATGTTCTCCTGATTCTGCTTACTTCACTCAGCATCAGTCCAAACAAGTCTTTCCAGGTTTTTCTGAAGTCAGCCTGCTTATCATTTCTTATAGCAAAATAGTATTCCGTTACATTCATATACCACAACTTGTTCAGCTATTCTCCAATGGACACCCCCTCAATTTCCAATTCTTTGCCACCACAAAAAGAGTTGCTATAAGTATTTTTGTACATGTGGGTCCTTTTCCCATTTTTATGATCTCTTTGGGGCACAGACCTAGAAGTGGTATTGCTACATCAAAGGGTATGCAAAGTTTTATAGCCCTTTGGGCATGATTCCAAATTGCTCTCCAGAATGGTTGAATCAGTTCTCAACTCCACCAGCAATGCATTAGTGTTCCAATTTTCCCACATCTTCTCCAACATTTATCATTTTCCTGTTTTGTCATGTTAGCCAATCTGATAGGTGTGATGTGGTACCTCAGAGTTGTTTTGATTTACATTTCTCTCATTGATAGTGATTTAGAGCATTTTTTCATATGACTATAGATAGCTTTAATTTCTTCCTCTGAAAACTGCCTGTTCATATCCTTTGACCATTTATCAACTGGGGAATGACTTGTATTCTTATAAATTTGACTCAGTTCTTTATATATGTTAGAAATGAGGCCTTTGTCAGAGACACTGGCTGTAAAAATTGTTTCCCAGCTTTCTGCTTCCCTTGTAATCTTGGTTGCATCAGCTTTGTGCAAAAACTTTTCAATTTAATGTAATCAAAATCATCCATTTTGCATTTATAATGTTCTCTATCTCTTGTTTGGTCTGGAACTCAAAATCTTATAAAAATAATGTTGAAAATTTTCTTTACATGTAATTGGAAAAATAAAATACTGCTTTAAAATTTTTTTAATGTTTTAAAAAAAGGAAATGAGTTCAGTCAAGCATAATTTATTCCTAGGGAACCTATGCTTACTCCTCGGGATCACTGCTTTCTTTTCTGAGTGATTCTTTGATTAGCGTGGTTGGGAACGTGAAACAGTCAATGTTTTTGATACACATTTTTCCAGGTCCTTGAATTGTGTCTGATATGGTTGACAGTGGGGAGTTGTGCAGGTTTTGAGCAGGAGAATGATGTTCTGTTTTCATCTTCCAGCTCCAGCCAGAGCAGCTAGACTGTGGTGCTGCCCACCTCCAGCATCCACTCTCCATCCTGCAACCTCTCAAAGCCATGCCAGTGTTTCGCTACCTGGGGCTAACTTCTGTGGCTGTGGCCAGTGTCAACAACTACACTGTTGTGTTTCTGGGAACAGCGAATGGGAGGCTTCTCAAGGTAATGCAGTTGGTTGGGGTCGGGTCGAGTCTCAATCCCTGGGAAGGTGGCTGCATCCTGCCACCAGCTCTCCAGGGACAGGAGCTCACTTGGCTGTGCCTCTGGAATGAGCTATTGATCATTCAAGCTTTATTTCATGAATTTTCTGTCCCAAAAGACCCTTCTGAGGCAGGTCTTAATATGTCATCATTGGACACAGAAATAGAAAATAAGATAGCTGGTTAATAAGAAGGTTAGTGTTAAAACCAAATTGTTCCATTGTCTGACCTGGACTCACAGAATCACACTTTAGATAAGGTCAGAGCTGGATGGGACCTTAGCTCATCTGGTGCTGTGGCATAGTGGAGAAAGTATTGGCCTCGAAATCAGAGAATTTAGGTTCAGAAATTGCCTTTGACTCTGCCGCTTTACGATTTGTGTCACTAAACCTCAATTTTCTCATTCGTCAAATGAGAAGGTTGGATGAAGCGGTGCCTTCTAGCTTTAAGCCTGGGATAATACTATCTCCTTATTTTACGGATGAAGAACTGAAGCCCAGAGGAAGGAGGTGATTTACCAAGTCAGGGAGGGAGCTAGCATTTAAACCTGTGTCTTCTGATTAGAATCCAAGGCTCTTTCCTCATGGCCACACTGCCTCTCACCTTCTAAAATGCTGAGGCCCATGGGGCAGCTAGGTGGCACAGTGGATAGAGCACTGGCCCCAAAGTCAGGGGGACCTGCGTTCAAATCCAGCCTCAGACCAAACACTTGACAATTACTAACTGTGAGACCCTGGGAGAGTCACTTAACCCCAATTGCTTAAAAAAAAAGTAAAATAAAATGCTGAGTAAAGCTGTCTCTGCCTCAAGGGGGTCCCAAAGAAGAGGTTGACTGGAACCTAGCACAGGCTGCATCCAGGGAGCGGTGAGCGGGGGAGGCATTGGCTGGTACCTGCTGTTTGCTGTCAACTGTAGGTGAATGGCCTGTAGTCTGGAAGACACAAATCTGACAAAAAAGACTGTAGGGCCCAGATGTGACAGGATAAAACATCCTTAGCTCTGTTTGGATTCAGATAATACAGTTTTCCAACCATGCAGTATCAAATCCACCTCACAGCCAGACTCAGGAATAGCCAGGAAGGTAACATTCCTTTTCAAAGGAACATAATGGGGAAACTAAACCAGGAGGATCCCATCTTAGACTGAGGCTAAAATTGTCCTCTCAGCTTTTTCCCAATGCTGACTTCCCACCAGTATCACATTCTCTCTGATTAGCTTGTGGCATTTCTCAGATGGTGGATTATTGATTATCAATGGATTATTATGATCCATCAGACAACTCAAAATAAAATGCTATGACCTTTTACCTCAAAAAAAAAAAATAAAATGCTGAGGCCCAATAGCTGCAGCCAGGGAGGGTCTAGTGGTGTGGGCCTTTTGAGACTGCCCTCCATGGTTGCCATTCCCTTGGGATTCAATAATAATTCAGTTCTATGTGTCAGGCACTGTGCTAGGTGCAGTGATACAGATGCAAAATAAAAAAAGCCTGCCCTCAGGAACCTTACACTCTACTAGCTTACACCACTGCTAAATAGTCCATTCTGGGTTGGGGAACCTACTGCCACATGCTGCCGTAGGTTGGGACCGTAGGTTCTACACCCTTGGATATCACTTGGAGGCTCACCCTGATTGATATCATTGCTTGATACTTTACTGACAAAATTGGGATCATTTGCCATGAATTTCCTTTTTTCTCAGTCTATCTCAGAACTCCTTGACATTATCTGACACTTGCTCCTCCTTTTTTCTTAGTCTGACAATGAGGTGACCTTTCTGCTTGCCAAGCCAAGCATCCTCAATCCTCCCTGTCTCTGCCTGTTCTGTTTGTCTGTCTGTCTCCCTCCCTCTCTCTCTCTCTCTCTCTCTCTCTCTCTCTCTCTCTCTCTCACACACACACACACACACACACACACACACACACACACACCCCCTTTCAACCTCTCCCTATCCACTGGTTTCTTCTCTATTGTCTTCAGACATCTTTAAAAATGTTAACTAGACCTTACCATCCCTTCAAGCCATTATCCCATATCTCTTTTCCTTTCTCAGCCAAACTCCCAGAAAAAGTCATCTATACTTTCTCTCCTCTCATTTCTCAAACCTTTGCAGTCTGCCTTCCTGTCTCATCACTCATCTGAAACTGCCGTCTCCAGAATAACCAGCGATCTCTTAATTACAAATCTGATGTCTTTTCCCAGTCTTCATTCCCAGTTTACCTGTTGCATTAGAGGCTGTGGCCCCCCTCTCTTCTCTGGCATTTCATGATGTCACGTTCTCCTGATTCTTTTCCTACCTATCTGCTCCTTCTCTATCCTCACTACTGTCTCCTCATCCATACCTGCTAAGGTTCCATTCTAGCCCAGTACTCTTCTGCCTTTACTTTCTCTGGGCAACCTCATCAGCTTCCATGGGTTTAACCATAAACCATGTAGTATATACACAGAGACACACAGACACACACACAGAGACACACAGACACACAGACACACACACACACACACACACACACACACACACACACACACACCCTCCAACTTTAGTTTCTTTTCAGAGCTTCAATCCTGTCTCACCAATTATTATACATGTCAAAGTGGATGTGCTGGCGTTACCTCAAAACCAACATGTCAAAAGTAGAACTCTATCCTCCCCCATGTCCCTCCTATTCTGAAATTCACTATTTCTGTTGAAAGCATCATCGCCCTTTCCATCTTCCAGGTTTGTGACCTTAGCACATTATTCCTGACCTCTCACCCTCCTTCACCCCGCATGTCCAATCAGGTGCCAAATCTGGCCCTTTCTATCTTGACAACATCTCCCATACCCAAGCCTTTCCTTTTCCACACGCAGCTACCACCTTAGTGCAGACCCTCATCACCTCTCACCTAGATTATTGCAACAGCCCCTTAATTGGCCTGCCTCAAGTCTTTCATCACTCCAATCTGTCCTTCACACAGCTGCCAAAGTAATTTTCTGGCCATGTGACTCCCCTCCTCCAACACTAGTGGCTTCCCATTCCCTCTAGAATAAAATATAAATCCCTCTAAATAGCTTTCAAAGCCCTCCCCAACCTGGCCCCAACCCATCTTTCCAGCCTCCCTGGATCTTATTCCCATTCCCATACTAACTAGCTTTCCTTTCTGTTCTTCCTCCGCCTCCCCTCTTCATTCATCCCAGCCACCCTCTGCATGCTTTTGTCTGGGCTGTCTGCCGTACTTGGAAGTACCTTGCCTCCGAGAATCCCTCCCTTCCTTTATGACAAAGCTCAATCACCATCTTCTGCATAAAAACCTTTCTCGATCCCCCTCAAATGCTAGTGCTGTGTATTTAATTACTTTGTATTTATTTCTATCGATTCACATTATTTATTTGTAGATGAACTTTTCTCCTCTGTTAGAATTTGAACCCCTTATGAACGAAGCTAGTGGCATTCTTTGTACTCTTATTCCCAGTCCCTCACACAGGGCCTGATATATAATAGGGGCTTAATAAAGGCTTGTTGATTGATTGATTGATCAATATCTCCGGTTGAATCCTGCTACAAACCATAGCTCATAGGTAGTGATTTCCGACACTCGTCGGTGCTGAACATTAATCAGAATTTAAGGTCTCTGAGCTCTTTGCCCAGACCAGGGAGCATGGCTAATAGGAGTTCATCAGTTAGAAATCTCATTGTATGGCATTTGATTAGTAGCAAGGCCCGACAGTAAATTCTGGCCTTGATTAGATCAGGTTTTTAAAACCCCATTTAAGCGAAAGGCCCACCAATATCTCCCTCCTTTCCCTCCCTCCCGCTGCCTTTTTCCTCCTCAGAAAAAGAGTCAATCCACATGTGAACTGAAGTCCTCCTGGTAACCAAGACCTTGCAGGGACAGGGGCGAGAGTAGAAGGATTGGCAGATCACATCTGACCTCTGTGACTCTCCGTCAGAGTCTTTCCTATGGCAGCTAGGTGGTCCAGTGGATAAAGCACTGAATTGGAGACAGGAAGACCCATGATTCAAATCCTGCCTTGAATACTTATAGCTGAGTGACCCTGCTCAAATCACATCATGTCCCAGCCTCAGTTTCCTCATCTGTAAAATGGGGGGTTGTGATAGTACTTCCATCATAGGTTTGTGAGGATCAAATAAGATTTTACAGAGATATGTTTACATACATTTATTACATTTATATATACACACATATATGCTTACGTAGTGCTTTACAAGCCTTGAAGTACAATATAAATGCTAGTTATTATTATTGTTATTATCATTATCATCATGGTATATCTTCGACTTCCTTTTTCTCTTTCCCGGTTTTGATTTGTTTTGCATCTTAGATACAGACGTAGAATCTTAGGGCTAGAGCCAGAAGGGGTCTCAGAGGTCATTTAGACCAACCCTCTCATTTTTGAGTTGAGGAAACTGGGAGGAGCCCAAGGTCACACAGATATTAGGTTGCAGAGGTGTGGTTTTGAATCCAGGTCCTTCGCCCAAAAAGCCGGTGTTCTTCTTCACGGTAACATTCTAGGGCCAGCAGCTTGACCTCAGTCCCAGGTGGTCACATTCCTGGAGGCAGTAGCCCATAATGTGGTTTCAGGAATTGAAATGCTGGGAAGAGAGAAGAGCGAATCCAATAACCCACCCCTCCCCCCATCTCCCTCCCTGCCTGTCTGCCATTGGAAGAGATGGGAGAACTTAGAATAGCCAAAGTTTTCCCCCATCTTTGCCTGGGCAAGGGTCTCGTGTACAGGATGGGGCCAAGTGTATGTTGTGCAGCAGCCTTTGAAGCCTGGCGAGGGGCAGGATGTGAGGGGGTGTGGGGACACGGCCCCCCAAACCCCTCTACACCTTTCTGCAGGATTAACAGCTCTGCAGCTATTATCCTATCAGAGAAAATCAGCCTCATCTGCAGAACCTCCATTAGAGACAGGCTGCCCGGGATAATTGACTCAGATACTGCTAATCTAATTCATCCACAGATGTCTAACCAGAAGCCCTTGTACCATGGGGGTTTCGAGTTAACCAAGGATGTGGGAGGCTCCCTGTAGGTCGTAACTCGGACCTGTCTAGGTAGAGACGGCACCTGGACGTGAATGGTAGTTTGACTGGCTTCCGATAGGAGGAGGGGAGAAGATGCCATCTGATGTCTGTAGAGCAGGCCATGGGAATCCGGGGGAAGTGAAGTTGGGTCTCAGAGGGAGTCTGGTGCTGAACCTGGCCACTGGGAAATCCCCTGGAGGGAACAGAATGGGTCATGGCACAGCCCAGGGCTTCTCCAAGTCCTCGCTCCAGAGAACACAGCTCCATTTCCCCTGCCTGGGCTTGGCCCAGGTTTTGCTACTCCCTGTCTGACTCTTACCTCATTCTCTGGCCCACTGAAGGAGCGGGTGCCGGGGATGTGTATGACAGTGCCTTGGCTGGTGTGCAGAAAGGTCAAGGGGGGCTCCCCTTTTATTCAGCTAGTGAGAGGGAAGGAACTTTGATCTGAGTGTTCCGTGGAACTGATTGGTGGGGAGGGCTGGGAAGGGTCCTAGAAACCACCAGTTTGTTTGTTTCTTTGAGGATAACACAAACACATTTCATCAGAGCTGTCCGGACACCCGGGGTGGAGGGGACATCAAACCCTGGGATGAGAAAGGCAGTTCAACCCAAGTGCCCTCCCAACTCTCAAGGTTCCCTCCTTTGTAACCCAGTCAGCTGGGGAAGTCTGGCTGCGTGCCAGTAGCCACATGGGACAGTAGAGGGGAGAGCCCTGGGCCTCTGGCCTAGTTGGACTCTCTGCTCTTCCGGCTCTCTGGGTCTGTAATCCAAACCCTGCGTCTGGTCCCAGGTGGCCTGCTCCCCCATACAGGTCCATACTCAATGGAGCGAATTAAGGCCCTTTCCTCTTCTGCTGCACTCAAGTCATCCAGGATTCTGTACTTGGAGGACCACGTCTGGAACTGTGCTTTGTACCATGCCTTATAATCAGGCAAGAAGTCAGCCAGTCACTACCTGCAGAATCTAACTCTGCAGGAGGAAAGTGGTGGTTTTGCCCTGCTCAGACGCATCTGGAAGACCGTGCCATCCCATTTTAGAGGGGACCTTAGTGAACTGGAACATGGCCAGGGGTTGGCCACCAGAATGGCCAAGGGGTATTCAAATCCATTCCGTACCAAGATTGGTTGAAAGAGTTGGTAATGTCTAGGGCAGAGGAGATTTAGGGATGTGGGTGATGATAAATGTTTAACAAATAGCTTGGGGTGGGGGATGTTGGGGGGGTGGGGAGGGATGAATCCAGGATACACTTCTAAGTTTAATCAGCATTAACATTTGCCTCTTTCTGAGGTGTAAATACTCCCATTGAAAATTTAACAATTGCCTCTTACAAGAACTGGGCCCAGGACACCCGTGCTCTTAGGGAGAACCTGAAGGTTGTCTTCAAATATTTGAAGGTTCTAATGCAGGTGAAGGATTATATTTATCCATTCTGCTTGGCCTTGAATTCAGAACTAGGATGGAAAAGAGAGATGTTATAGAAAGACAGATTTCAGTTCTGTGTGAGAAAGGATTTCCTAACAGAACTGTCTCAAACATTGGATTTTGATCTTGAAGGTCATGTTAAAAAAAAAGGCTACCTGCCATAGTAGAAAGGGTGACAGGCCTGGAGTTGGGAGACCCAGATTTGAATCCTGCCTCAGATATTTACTAGCCATGTAACCAGGGGAAAGTCCAGTCAATAATGCTGACCTACTATGTGCCAGGCATTATGCTAAGTAAGTGCTGAGAATGCCAAGAAAGGGAAAAGACACATCCTTAAAGAGCTCACAGTCTGATGGGGCAGATGACATATAAACAGCCACAGCTAACAAGATATAGACAGGATAAATCGGAAATGATTCACAGAGGGGAGACCCTAGCAGGGGGGGATCGAAAAGTTGTCTTTTTGTTACCCCATCCCACACCCTGATTTTATAAATGAGGCTCAGCATAGTAAAGGGACTTGGTCAAGGTCACCTGGAGGCGGTCACTAGCGGTCATGATTCAAGCCCAGGTCCTCTGACTCCGAATTCATTGTATTTTTTTTCCCTTTACATCATGTCTTCTATTGAAGGGGATGGTAGAACTGAGCTAGCCTGGCCAACAACACCTTTCTCTTCTCGGGGAGCAAGGCTGTATGACCGTTTGTTGAGGATGGCCCTGAAGGGTTTTGTGCCTTTGTGCCAGTTGGCCTCCGGGATCCCTTCTAGCTCTGAGAGTCTAAGTGTGACCCGCTGAGCCTCAGTGAATGAGTAGGATTTGGATAGGGCAGGGGAGGTGGGAGAGCATTCCAGGCAGAGGGGATGGCAAAGATGTCAGAGGTGATTTACGCATGATGAATGCTGGCACAGTGAGAAGACTCTTAGCTCGTTTTTGCAAACTAAAAGTTTCTCTAGCCTTCCTGGTCAGAGAAATGATGTCCTAATGATGGTGAATGCCAAAGCCTTGATAAGTGGTCATGTTTTTCCACTTTGGAAAACACTTGTGTTTTTTTTCCCCTTCTGTTCTCTCAGAGGAGGCCCTTCTCCTTACCAAAATCACCCTAATAGCTTTTCCCTCCTAGCCCTGCTTGATCGGCAGATTTCCAGTTACCAGTTACCCTAATCGCCTTGGGCTCTGCCTCCTACTTTCTTGGCAGATTAACCTGAACAGCACCATGAGCATCATGAGCAGGAAGTCTGTCACGGTGGCCTACGGGGAGGCGGTGCACCACATCATGCAGTTTGACCCCTCGGACCCCAGCTACCTCTATGTGATGACATCCCACCAGGTAAGGACCCTCCCCGCGGGCTCCATCCCTCCCGTGGGTCTGTGGCCTGGAGTGTCTGGGGTGAATCTTCCTGATTGGGAGGGCAGCTGAGTATCCCTTTAGAGAGGGCAAGAGGTGACTTCTGAGCTCTGTCAGCATTTGGGGGACGGGGGAGCGGCTCTGGAGGAACCTTGTCTGTTGGGTGTCGTGGACGAGCTCATGCTTTGGGACCGGGTTTCCATACCACGGCTATGAGGCAATGACAGCTCTGTTTACCAACTCATTTATACAGACGCTTCTTCCTATGCTCCAGAACAGGGCACCCAGTTTTGAATGAGGAACTGGGGGCTAAATCTGTGTCAGAGAGTTTCTGTCAAAGCACAATTTCAGACACCAACTCTAAAAACGAGACCTTTCCTCACTCATTTCCACATTCTCCTGAAATTACTTTGTATACTTTTTCCTGATTTATTTGGGCACTTATTGTATTCTTCCAATAAAAGATAAGCTTGTTGAGGGGAAGGTCTTTCATAGGGGTGGGGAACCAGCAGCCTTGAGGCCACATGTGGCCCTCTGGGTCCTCACGTGCAGCCCTTTGACTCAATCCAAACTTCACAAAACAAATCCCGTTAAGAAAAGGATTTGTTCTATAAAACTTGGACTCAGTCAAAAGGCCACACCCAAGGACCTAGAAGGCCACATGTGGCCTTGAGACCACAGGTTCCCCACCCTTGGTCTAGTATAATGTCTGGCACATAGTAGGTGCTTAATAAATGCTTGTTGCATGGAATTGAAGCAATGAGCTAGCAACCACAAGGAAGCTCCCTCACGGCCCCCACCATAGTCCTGCTTATATCCTCATTCCTGTATCATCCATACGCTTTTTCCATCTCAGGTTAGAGAGCCCTGGACCCAAGACCAAGAACGGGGTGGTATACTTGAAAGAACATTGGACTTGGAGTCAAAAGATCTGGGTTCAAATCCCCCATTTACTGGTTGTGTGACTTTGGGCTAGTCATGGGACTTTTCTGGGCCTTAGCTTCCTCCTCTGCCCAAGGGGCTGGACAGATGAACCTCAAGCCCAAAAGGTTTGATCCTATGATTCTAGAACCCCACAGAGGCCTAACTCCTCTCTAGGACCTGCAAGCCTCCTCAGTTCCACTATTCTGACTGAGAAATTCAAGTTAGCAATTATAGAAGAAGACACTGTGTGAGTGAGTGGTAAAATCAAAATGACAGGTAGTCAATGCGGTAGGAATTCAGAGCAGGGAAAGATCCCTGTGGGCTGTGGTAATCAAGGGAAGCATCTAAAAGAAGATTGGATTGACTGCCCAGGGTAGGATCTCAAAACCCTTTATTTAAAAAAAAAATCAGCAGCCTGCATCATCATCCCATTTTAGGGTTGGAGAGACTGAGACCCAGGTAGGTAAAGCGCTGCTCTGGGTGCTGGCCGGGCTAAGTGCCTGGTTTCCAGCCTCCATGCAGGCTTCTGCCCTCTGCCCCTGCCTTACCTGCGGGGAGAGTGGTCCCCTCCGTTACCTCTCCTCAGAGTCCTGATTGGCCGAGAGGAGTCGAGCTCTGGTTTAAATTAGGTTTTAATCTGTTGAAACAAAAGCAGGAACCGCTAATTTTATATTTTTATTTTCTGACCATAATTCCCTCCAGACCGGCCATGCCGGGCCAAGCAACTCCTTATCACCATCTTCATCTCCCTCTCTCCCTCCTCCCCTGAAGCCAGACATGAGCCTGCACAGGGCCTCCGGCCCAGGCCCCTGTTGCCAAGGAGCTCAGAGCTCCTGCTGGCCAGAGCCCCAGGGACACCATCCTCCTGCATTTGGACAGGGCGTGCTGGACCTTGGAGAGCACTGACTGTGGTTCCCTCTCTTCCCTCCACCCCTAGACTTTCCACAAACCTGACTGTGCAAGAATACGTGCTTCTAATTATTCTACCCTCAAGAGAGCAGAGAGCCCCATGGAGACCGTGAGGGCTAATGGGAAGAGCCAGTGAGCTTGGGTTTGAACCCTGGCCCGCACTCTTATTAGCTGTGTAACAACTTCTGAGCATCAGCTTTCTTATCTGTAAAATGGGAATAATGAAACTAGGTTTTGGAGTCAGAGAGCCTGGGTTCGAATTCTGGTTCTGCTAATGATTACCACTATGACAGTGGGTAAGTCATCTCACCTTTGGCCTGCTGTTTTCTTATCAGTAGAATGTGGCATTTGGATCAATAAGGCCCTGTCTCGCTCTAAGTCCTATAGTCTTTATATTAATGTGATAGCAGCAAGGCTGGCCCTCTGTACATTGTGATATGGGCAGAGCTTAACTTCTTACTAAGGTGCCGTTTTGTGACACTCTCCTGCTCAACAACCATCAGTAGCTCTCTAGAGGACAAAAACCAAACATCTGAGCCTGGCATTCAAGGCTTTTCATCATCTGGTGCCATACTGTCCTCTACAGCCTCACTTACCTTCTCCCTTTCTTTCAGCCAGATTGGATGATTTATAGTCCCAAAGCTGCTTTCTCAACACTTTCTGGCCTCTGGGCCTTTGCCTATGCCTTCCCCTCCACCTGTGATCACCTTCTCCTAGGATTGCAGGACAGGGAGGTGCCAGGTGGTATTCTGGGGTTTGTCTAATCCAATGCCCTCATTTTATAGAAGTGGAAACTGAGCTTCACAGGTTAAGTGACTTGTCTAAAATCACACAGCTAGAAAATAGTAGAGCTCAGATTAGGATCTTGGATTCTCTTGATTCTAAATCTAGAGTGTTTTCTAATCTTATCACATCAGGCCCTGCCTTCCCTCATCTCAGCCTGTCAAAATTCTGTCCATCCTTCAAAACCCATCTTGACTTGCCCAAGGTCACACAGGTACTGGTAGTGGTAATGGTAGTGGTAGTGGTGGTGGTGGTAGTAGTAGTAGTAGTAGTAGTAGTAGTAGTAGTAGTAGTAGTAGT